GCTGGCGCCCGCCGCGGCGCGGCTCTCGCCCAGCCGCCCCGGCGAGGGCCCGGGCGGCGGCGGTGGCGGCGGCGCCGGCGGCGGTGGGAGCGCTGGGGGGCTGCAGCCCGGCGGGCGCGGCAGCAGCGCGGCGCGGCCCGCCAGCCCCAGCCCCTCGGTGGCCAGCGAGAAGGAGAAGGACGAGCTGGAGCGGCTGCAGCGGGAGGAGGAGGAGAGGAAGAAGAAGCTGCAGCTCTACGTCTTCGTCATGCGCTGCATCGCCTACCCCTTCAATGCCAAGCAGCCCACCGACATGGCCCGCCGGCAGCAGAAGGTACCGGCCGTGCGCTGCCCTGCGCTGCCCGGCTCTGCCCTGCCGGCCAGGCCCTGCCTCCTCTCCATCACCCACCTTTGGCTGCTCCCTGCCTGCCCCTGCCATCCACCCACCTGCCTGCCCCCTTCTTACCTACCCGCTGTTGACTTACCCCTCTGCACGCTCCTCTAGATACCCCCTCTGTCTGCATCCCTGCCCGTTCCTCGCCTCTCCTGCTGCTCCCCAGGCCTGCAGCTCCCCGGGCACCCCAAGGGCACTCCCGGCACAGGGCACCTTGGGCCCACGTGGTGCGGCTTGCTGGCAGCAGCCCTGTCCCGGGGCTCGCAGAAGCCCCCTGACCCCTTGTCACCCTCCGTGCTGCTCCCCGACACGGTCTCCCGCACAAAGCCGGCGCGGTGACATACATCGTTGCTTCTAGTTACGCAACATCGGGATTCGGGAAGTTTGGGATGTTGGCCATTTGAAGGTTGTCAAAAGGAGAGAGAAGGGTTATATTGCTGGAAAACACCAGGCATGTGCTGTTGCCTCCTGTAAAGAGGTTCCACAACTCCATGCTTACTGCAAAGTTTGTTTAACTGGGAGTGCTGGCACTGACTTGGGGAGTTGCTGAGTCTCATTTCAACTTCTTGCAAGTGTTTATGTGTGGCGAGCTCCCCAAGACCAGCTTCCTGGCAAAATACATCAGCAAAGGTTTGCGATGAAGTCTCTGTCACAGTCTTGACTCTTCCTCCCCAAGTGTGCCAGCACAGCAGGGCCATGTGCTGCTCCAGGCAGCTGGGCAGGAGCTTCACCTGGACTCCCCATCACCAGGAGCTGTCTTGGAGCTTGTTTCTCCTCTGAGGCACTAGTTTGTGGGCCAGGGCAGAAATTAAGTTTCTTCTGCCTCTGGACTCAGGCATCTTTCAGTCATACGCAGCCAACTTTTTCCCTATGCCAGACAGAGTTGGATGTGTGATGTAATTTAGCTCTCTGAAACAGCTGGCTGACTTTTTGTCACCATTTTCGGTTGAGTTTCTTAGACTGCAGTTTTAGCCTTGATACTGTTCTGTGTTCACAAATGACCTTTACAATTCAGGCAGACTTCTGGATGTAGTGATGCAAACGACATTCAGTTCTGCTACACCACAGGACTATTATTAGTCATTGCAACATACGGAGGTAGGAAAGTGTATCCGTACTGTATCATGTAGTTTAAAGGCAATATAGGACAATCTGTTGCTGGAAGGTTGAATGATCTGCTTTTGTTTGCTGAACAAAGTACACAGCTGAAATTATAGCCAGGTTTGGAGTTTCTTTTATTTGTTCATTTTGCCTACAATGCTTTTCAACAGATTGTGAATTTCCGAAGTAGTTTTGGCTTTTGTTTGATGTGCTACTTCTTTGTGTTAGAGAAAGATGATGAAAGTTACGTGCTTGTTAGTTTCACTGAAATAAAACCAAATAAGTCCTGCAACTGTTTCCCACATGAAAGTGAACTGAAATTGTCAAGTAGTTTATCCAAAGGAGCACGCAGCACCTTAGCAGTTCAGAGTGTCTGGGAAGGACAGTTTATAGTCCGTAAAATCAAAATAGTGCATTGTGAAAGGACAAGAGAAGGGAAAGGAAAAGGTGGGGAATAAAGTGCAGGTGAAACAAAGAAAGGAGAAGTAATGAGAAAAAATACAAAATGGCAGCAATACTCAAGGGTATGTGGAAGTTATATAGCATCTTGGGAGGAAATAATCCATTCTCTGTAAAATGAACATAGGGAAACATTTCTGGCTTATTAACATAGCTAAAAAAGGTGTGTCTTGGAGGCTGACCATCTCCCCTCAAACTTAGCAGTGGAGTGGAATTGGGAAAGCTAAATTTACCATGATAACACATGTAAAATTGAATTTGCCCTTTAAAAGGTGAATTAATTCTGGTTTTTTGTCTTCTCTATATTCCTATATTCAGTTGTCATGCTGGGAGTAGATCCCTGCCCTTTTTTCTTAGCCATGACTTCTGTTGAAGTCAATTAAAGGACTACCAGAGCCTGGAGTTTGTTGTTGAACTTCATGTGCTCCTCTGCTTTGCTTTCCTCACACATCCCTCTGGGAAGGTGCACCCTTCCTTCTCTGGCTGGAGGGGGACCAGAGGGTGAAGGTGCAGGATTTGATCAGCTTGAGCACTGAGCTTCAGTTGCAATGTATTGGTTGGGTCTTCAGTAATGATAAAAGTATCAGGTGGTTAAGACTCACCAGACTGGAACAAATGCATTTTGCTTCTTAGGGGAAAGGTGAGAGAAAACTGGATTTTGGTTCTGCTCTAATGGGGGCTCTTGGGTCAGTTTGCTCAACAGAAGAGGGATGAACTGCTTCCTTTCCCATGTGCCATTTGCCTCTCCACCCTCACAGTCTGCAGTTTGCCAGGGAATTGTTTCATCCTTGAAGAAATAGGGAGCAGAAGATCCCTAGGCATTGTCATTTGCAGTATCCAGGCTGGTGTGCCAGGACCACACTCCCTCCTCTCCCAGTGGTGCTGGACAGAGAGGCTGCAGAAGGTGCTGCTTGATCCACTGGACTTGCGGGCCCGAGGAGATGCCAGGACCAGAATCTGCCCCACTGCCCATGGACAGGACAGGGTGTCTGGGAGCCCCACTGGGGCTCTGCCCAGGTGAGGGGACCAGCTTCACGCCAGGCTGCTCAGGCCCCACTCCCATGGCAGGGAAGTGCCACCACAGAGGTGTCTGGGCAGAGCTGTTCAGCAGTAAGTGCTGGGGACCTGTCCCCAGCGCTGCTCAGGTTCTGCCCAGTGCTGGAAGAAGAAGGATGAGGTTTGGCTTTACCTGGCTCGCAGCTCTCCCCTGTAGAACGGGAGATGCTGTAACCTCGAGCACAGCCCAGACAGGTGACCATGGCTTTGCAGGTGAGACAGTCAAGCTGTTGCCCTGCAGAGTGGTTTCCTGGCTGGGCTACCTGATAACAGCCAGCCCTCCCCACCACAGCTGGAAGACTGCAGCTGAGATGGGCTGTGTTGCAGTCAGCCCCTGCCAGGCTCCCAGAGCCTGGGAAGCTTCACCTTTGCAATTTCCTCAGATAAGAAAGTGTTGATTTTCTTGTGGCCGCAGCACTGAAGTTCTTGCCCGGGCTGTAGATCCCTGTGGTACCTCCTCTGAGGTGTGCAATCCTCCCTCCTTGGTCCTGCAGTGCTGCTGTGTCAGAGCTGGCTGGTGCCCCGGGGGCCATGTGTTCCAGTGCTGTGAGTGCACAGACACAGTGGGCACCACTAGTGTAGCCACACACACAGGTGTAGTGCTTTGGAGCTGGAAAATGCAGCCTGGTGTTCTGCATCACCCATGAACCACCCTGGAACAAAGGGAACTGTGTAGTTAAGGTGCTGTTGCACCACAAAGGTAATTACCTGCTGTTTGATAAATTAGAATGTATATGAGAGCGAAGAGAGCAGCAGCAAAGTGTGAATGGATGGTGTAGCTGGGTATTTACTTCATGTGGGCATTATAGCACTGCTTGTTTACACCTGCAGCAAACTGTTTCAGATTTCCAGATGAATTTAAGCAGATGCCACTCAGAACTGGTATTTTTCTGATCCTGACACCCTAGAAATTTCAGCAACAGAAGAAAAACTTTTTTTAACATCTCTGTGTTCAGGTCTACACCTCTGCTTTGGGTTTTTTGATTTTTATGGGGTAAGGCTCCACTTGAGTAACTACACATCTGCGATGTCTACCTGTAAGTTCTTTTATTTACATCTTTCTAGCAGTATTTCCTAAGGGAAAAGAAAAAAGGCTTATTAGATACCTGCCTGTGCTGTCTTACTTCCCTCTTAGGTTTCTTTTTTAAGCCACCACTG